GAGTCGGACCGTAAAATTTTATTTTTAGTCAGTTTCAATAAATGTAAAATAAATTATCTGTATCTTTAAAATTTACATTTAATCTATTGATAAAGTTTATTGGAGCAAGACTCCGTTGGATATAAAAAAAAAAAAAAAATTTATTTTTTTTAAAAATTACTTGAGTTTTATAATCAATATCATCAGTATTCGTTGGTAAAAATAATGTTATTTTGATATCATGATCCTCATGTTCCACTAGATACATGTCAATAGTCAATACTACTTATAAATTTGCATCCTCCTTCTCATGTTGTTTTACATACTTAATTTTTACAATTGTGTTTATATAACAAGACATTAGATAATCAGGTTATCAGATAAACAACTTTATAAAAAAAAATTTTCAAAGTCTCTATAGTGATAATTTATATATAAATAAACAATATGCATGTTATAATTTCTTATTCCAGTATACTAAATAACCAAACAGAACACGAGATAAATAACTAGTATCGATATAATACAGATAAAGCATAAAAATGAAATCTTTATGAGTAATAATGAAAGCAAAAAATATAATTACTAGCTTATTATAATCAACTGTTGGACTTGATTATCAATCAAATAAACATCTAATTAATTGTTAAACCTGAACACAAAAAAAGATCCTAATAAACAAATTTCTTGTTTCAAAAAAAATTAATTGCACGATCTAATACATGACATTATCTAACAATATACAATATAATGGAAGAAAATAAAAATCATAATGAACAAAGTAAAATTTGAAGCAAAAAAAAAAATCACCATAATGAAACTATAAAAAAAAAGAGTTAATCTTTAAAAAATTAATAAAGATAATAAAAACATAGTTTATCTGTATATATATATATGCCATAATATTTCTTATTCATTCTTAAATTAGACTGTTGACCTAATGATTAATACTGGTTGATTATTTTAAAGTAAAATTTGTTCAAATAAATTACTTAGATTATAATAAATCAGCTAGGTGAAAATGAATAACTTTTATACAGATTGAGAGAAATAAATTTTCTGTGTTTCTTTATAAATTATAATATTTAAGATTATAAATCTATAAACAATTACTAGCTACTGTATTAATAAAGTAATAAACAGAAAAAAGTTATGTTTGATATTTTTTTCCATACAGTTCTTTCCATTTAACATTCATGAGAAAATTTATATAACATTAAATAATTAGATAAACTCCTATCCTTTTGAACTAGATTTTAGATATAACCAACTAAAAATAAAGTACAAGAATCAAAGTCAAAATCAATAACATGATTCAGATAAAATGAAATGACATAATATAATACAGAAAAAATTCCTATAGCAAAGTCATGAGCAAAAAAAAGCTAATACTTCTTTATATCTGTATCAATTGTGAACTAAAAGTATTGTTGTATTGTCTTTTCAAATGTTATTTTTATGTCAAAATGTTTCACATTTGATACACCATGCATATTGTATAATATTCTCACTACTTAATTCTTCAATATTATTTATAATGGGCTATAGTCTTTATTACTTTTGAATAGTAAATTGTCTTATATAATACTAGTGAAATAGGTGACACTTTGTGTTATCCATCTTATTAAAATTTGCATTAAAATGTATAATATATTGATCTGTCATGAGGAGGTACAAAAATTTTGACTTGTGATGGTGTAGTAGTTATATAAGTCGATACTCAAACTGTATTAGAAAGAAAAATTTTTAGCTTCTTTATCAAATAAAGTTACAAACAATCTAAGTGGGATCTTACAACTGAACAAAGTAATCCTAAAATAGTCTTTAGTATAGTAAGATATTTCTGCATCAAAGAATTTGAGCTGGTAAAAATCGGTGTAATGGAATGAATTATGGATAATCTACTTCTTTTTTTAGTTTGACAGGAATGATAAAAATAATTGAAAGAGTAATCACAATTAAAATTTTTATCAGTGGGAATTTTTTAATATGTTTCTGGGGCTGAAGTTTATAGGCTTTTCTTAATAATAATATTAATGTTTTTTTAATTTGCAATATTTTTGAAGGTTTTGATTCATGATTTTGTTAGTATATTAAAAGGATAAGGATAACATTTGGATTTGTTGCATATACATTAAATTTTAAAATTGTAAAGAAATAACAAAGAAATAATACCTTGTTTTGCTGATACTATTGTGAAAATTAAATATGTTAAGAAACATATAAAGGAAAAGGAGGAATCAGATTTGTTAGCAGTTTGAACACTTGATACATATTCTGTTGGACGTGATAATTGTGATATAGAATTAGTTCTATTTGTACTTGCTAGTTTGAAAGATAGAGATCCTGAAGTTCAAACTATTTTTGTAAAGGATAATTTTTTTTCTGTTGATAGTAAAATTGTATTGGGAGACTATTGTGAAAATAGAAAATGAAGGTATTTGTTACGTGTTTAATTAATATTTGTTTATCTGTTTCTAATAATGATTTTTAATTTAAATTTTAGATGACAGTTTTAACATCTACACATGTTATAATTCTTCACAAAGTTCCTGAATTAAATAAATGTCCTTTGAAGGTTTCTTTAGTTGAAGTTTCTCAGGAGATGCCAAACAAAGTTAAAGATAATATTATTGTTAAAATGTCAATATCTGATTACGTCAGTCAGGAGTGCCATTTTATTGTAAGAGTTGTTTTTCCACATCACAACTCAAGTTTTTCACATTTAAAAGATACCATTTGTCTCAAAGAATCATTAGCTTTTGTGGTTGGACAAATGGAGATTATTGATAATAAGTTTTACATGTATTCTAAAGATATTAATTATATCAATACTCATTTTATTAAAAAAAAAAGTTACAAAAATAATTTGTCTCAAAGTTCTTTAGCATCTCAAAATAATGTTCAGTCTAAACTTATAATCACTTATCAAAATATTGCTGAAAATTTGGAAAATAAATTAGGATATAATAATTTACTTTCAATTAACTCGAGTGATGTTGTTGATAAACCTGAATTGGATTGTTCTTACCTATTGGAATATGCGCGAGATGACATTTTTAATAAGTTCATCAAAAATTTAGTTAATACTAAGTATGAATTTCAAAATATGAAAAGTAATAATTTGATTAATTTCGATTGTAAAAATGAGATTAGTAGATCTGTAAATAAAAGAAAGTTTTATATAAAAAAAATCAAAGAACCTATAGCACAATCTTTACGTAAAGGCTTGAAGTCATATAATACAAATGCAAATGCAGACAATGTTGAAGAAAAAAATAAAATTTATTTTATTTTTGTCAACATTTAAATATTTTTTTTATTATTTTTGTCATTATTAAGTATAAATAAAAATATAAAACTTTTGTTAAAATGTAAAAAGTTTATTAAATAAAGTAGTTAAAATAAAATGTCAATTTTAATTATTTAAAATTTCTATATTTCATGTATAAATATCTTGTCTACCACAAATGATATCATTTTTTACTAATATTTTGATATTATGGTAAGATCAAACTTGTGAGAAAGCCACATAAAGTAACCATGTGTAAATATGTGTTTGGATAAATAAAGTCCTATATGTAGAATGGTTTGACCTTGTGACTTGTTATTATTAAAGCAAAAGCAAGTTTGACTGGAAATTGTTTTCTCATTAAAATAAACAGAAGTTTAATATTGTTTGAGGAGACAAAAGGTATTTGAGAAAGAAACACTTGTTTTCTTCTATGATTTCTGTAGTTATTTTCACTTCGATAATAATATTATTAAATATTTGACATATTAATCTAGTGCCATTACACAGATCATTAAGAGATCTAAGTTACAAAGGTATATAATAGGTACATTGGTCTTAAGACGTAATTCGTAAAGAGGTATCTCAGCCATAGTTACAAAGTTGAGAAATTCCTGTTGATAAAGATTATTTTTATTGTCAAGAACAAAATCAAAGCTTTTGTATATTATATTATCACCTGGTAATTGATCTAGTATTGTGTTATTAATATTATTGACATACTCATTTTTGATAGTAAGTATAGCTTTATTGGTAAAATAAGACACATCTAATAAATGGGAAGAAAGAGACAGGTATATCTCTTTAATCAATGTTTGTAGGGATTCTTCATTATACCAATTAATTATTATGCAATCCAGAATTCAAATCATATTATCATCTATAGTTAGTTCAGTTCCGTTTCTAATTCTTAGTAAGAGGTTTCTGAAATTGCTAGTTTCATAGCTATTGATTTGCATATTTTAATATAGATAATGAACTTCTATTGTAGATTATAAAGGAAAAAATTTTAATGTGATATTTACAATTCGTGTATAATTTTCTTACAAGATCATTGGTATCTGGATATATTTGAAAATCGAAAAAATCTAAATATATGCAAATATATTCACATAAATTCACGAATTTATTCAGATTTTTTCGATTCTCAAATATTCAGAACAAATATATCTGAATATTTTTTGATTTAGAAAAAATTTAAATAAATTTGCAAATTTATGCAAATATATTCGCATATTGGATTTTTTCGATTCTCAAATATCCGGATATATTTAAAAATTATTTGAAAAATTCGTAGGATATTTAATGAGAAATGATACTGAAATTCTATTTTTAATTCTTTGTAGTTATGATCTTTAACAAATTTTTAGATAGATAAAGATCTATTTAGTTCTAAAAAAATCGTTGGATAAAAACATGCTAATAATTTATTTTGTTCATTTAGTTTCGCAAATTTATGTTTATTTACGTTATATTCGTTTTTATTTACATTATCAATTATTTTTTTTATTAATTATTTTATATTATTTATAGATCATCATCATTT